CTTCTTATTAAGAAGAAGTCGTGGTCTAAATTAAAGGGGGACTTCAAATTAAAACATTTGAGTTTCTAATAAGCAAGTTAAATCTAATATAGAAGGGAAAGAGAAATTGATTAAGAATTTTTACCTTCTATAGCAAAGATTAATACCTTATTTATTTTAAATAAATATCATTTAAAAAAATTATATTTTATAGATACCTTTTAAGGTTTATAGCAAAATATTTAATTTTGGTTACCTCCTAGCCCTAAGCCACTAAATACGCTAATCAGTTACAATATTTTCTTTCTCTCTCTACTTTGATACATCCCATTCTCTTCCCCCATCCCATTAAAATTTCCGATTCTCTTCCTCTTCTCTGTCTAGTTTGCTAGCGATTTCTCCTCCGTCGATATCCTCCATTGCAGTAGAAGAATTGTTAGAGTATAGTTGCACGCGCGATGACGTTGAGGACGGAATTGACCGGGTCAGCAGGAGAAGCAGCCATAGCGAGGCAAGTGGTACTGCTTGAACTGCACCACCAGCACTCATCGATCTCCGATCTCAAGATTTTGTTTTGGACTTTCCTCCGCTTTATTCTTGATTTGATGATGAAATTGGATTAAATTGGGGAATATGTTTTGTGGGGTTGTCTTTTCTTAGATTATGATTTTCGGGTGGTGTTTTTGACATGAATCAAAAGCCGGTGAAATGAGGACCACTGTCCGATTTGTATGGCCATGTTCTCTGATTCATCATCTGGTATTCTGTGGGCCCTGCAGCTGCCATTGAAATGAATAAGCCCTTAATAAGAAGGAATTTTTACCTCCTATATTTCAATGTATTTTCAACGTATTACGATGTACTTTTATATATTTTATTGTATTCATTGCCTTTTTTTCATTGTAATTCAATGTATCTCGTTGTATTCATGTATTTTATTGTATTCACTATCTTTTTTCTCATTGTATTTCAATGTATTCCGCTGTATTCTATGTATTTCATTGTACTCATTGTCTTGCTATATGCCATGAATGTATTCATAAGTTTTTTTTAATTAATATAATTTGTGTATTTAGATGTACTATTTAATTTCTCTGAAGATTGCTATGTTTTTGGGGTATTTTCGGTTGAAAATCTTTTTTATAACTGAAAATACAAAATTTGTATGTTATAATTGAGTTTGTTGAGTTATATTAGGAGTCTATTATGTTAATTGATTCACTTTCCGTTTTCAAAACGGTGTAATCCCCTATTTCACGCCGTGAATACAGTCGAATACAATAATTTGTCCAGCTGTAATCCCATGTTTCACTCCATGACTACAGTCGAATACACTCGAATACAAAAACTGATTAGCTGGACTTCCCTGATTCACGCCTATTTTTGCTACTGTATTCATGAATACAATAGCTTAAATACATCAACTACATCTTATAACCACATAAAAGGTATCTATAATCCGTAATATAGTAAATAATATGTATAAATGGCTAATTACTATTAAAAGATAGTGCTTTATGAAAATTTCTCAATTAATTATTGGGTCTCTAGCAAGCAAGTTAGAGATCCCTTAATTAAGATTGGTTGCCAGCATAAACTAGAAATTGGAACAACTATATAGTAAATGACACTCTTTTTATTTCTCTTGCAACTTATGGACCTTTTAGACTATGGTCTAAAAATTTCTCTGAAAATCTTATGATAAGCGTTAGACCACTATCTAAAATTTTGTAAGTTATTGTTAGACAAATGTCTTAATGTTGTCTGCAAGGTCGACAAATATATGAGCAAACATTAAACCCAAGTTTAAACAATAATTTTCCAAAGGTTATATTTGCACCATTTTTTAAAATAGGAACAAAATGTAAATGATGGCCTAAAAAGGGGCATTTGCGTAAATCAGCCAACGGTAACTGGCGGGCCGAAATATAATACATGGGCCTGCTAGTAATAAGATTGCGGCCCCTAAGACCTATTATGTTGTCCGATATCGGCCTGTTTTAATTTGCTTATAAAAATTATGATGAGTATGCTACAAATACATAGTACTCCCTCCGTTTCAAATTAAATGAGGTAGTTTGACTCGGCACGGAGTTTAAGGAAAAAAAGAAAGATTTTTGAAATTTATGGTCTTAAAAAGCTTGAGGGGTAAAGCTTTGTGGGGCCATGACTTTTGTGTGGTTATAAAAGCTTCTCATTAAGGGTAAAATGGGTAAAATTAGGAGTTTAAAGTTAAATTATTTTCAAATTTAGAAATGTGTCATTTATTTTGGAACGGACTAAAAAGAAAAGTACCTCATTTAATATGAAACGGAGGGAGTAATTAATAGGGAATCTTATCTAAGTGTCCCAAAATTAGTTCCAACTTACCAGTCTCTACTCTCTAGCCATTAATCATAGACTTACCAAAACTAAACAACGCATATAAAAATTTAAAAACTTTCTCTCCAAGAATCACACGCAAAGATCTTCTTCCATATTTTTAAGTGTGATCAACAACATTAAATGCAAGACGGAAAGAAAATTTCATGTAAGTGTGATCAACATCATTAATGAAATATATATATATATATATATATATATATATATACAAAAATCTAAGTAAAAAGGGACCTTTTTCAGTGGGTATGGTTGAAATTCATTGAAAACATATAAATAAGTCAATATACTAATTTTTGAGGAAGATTGGAGGTGATTTGGACTGATTTGGTATCAAAATTCGTAGTTAAAATTGATTTCAAAAAATTCTTCTACGATACATGTATCACACACAGATGTATATATGTGATACACATTTGATACAAATATGATACATATGTGATACACGTATGATTTTTTCAGGTTTCATCTTCTACTTTGAATTTTCAATTCAAACCACCTCAAAACTCCGTCAAACCCAAAACTGAGATTCAAACTCCTTAAGATGTACTCAATATATTCTAATAACACCACCCAAAAGAAAGTAAAGATTTTACTTTTTTTTGCTACAAATTGCTAATTGGCTAATATTGGGAACATTTGGCTAATATTAATAATATTATATAAATTGCCTAATTTTTGTAATAAGCTACTTATAAATGGACATAGCTAGTAGTTTCCCTTAAAAATATTGGTTCCAAAATATTAAGTACATTATGAGTAATTTGATTATGAAATTCCGTATTTAATCCACAAACTCAACTTACGAGAGAAGGGCCCCGATGTTTATATTAAATTAATAAATATAACCTCAGCAGTTAAAAAGTAAAGTGAAAATACATATCACTTAACCATAATTAAATAGTAAATGTATGGATAAGATTTTCTCATTTCATGTCTCGGCTTTTTATCTTGTAGAAATCAACATTTTTTCTTAAATTTACTCATCATTAAAATAGTATACTACTTAATAAATTAGATATCCTCAAGAGGGAAATCCAATTTAACTTCATTTATGCTTAAAATTTGTGTAACATTAATCGCCACCTGTCACTGGACTCACTGCTATAACTATTTCTCCAAAAATAGAAATGTAAAAATAATATAGAAGAGAGTACGTGTACACTTACAAAACCAATCCTACTTGTCCAAAGAGATATGGTTCAAAGAAGTGAACAAAAGAAGAAAAAAAATCCATCCATCGACTTCCTTCACTTAATCCTATGTTCTCAACTATTATCATTGACAGAAACTAAGCATAGAATACATCAAAATGGCACTTAATTCCATCTCATTACTTCCCCTAAAATCCATCAATATTTCCTCCTCCTCCTCCTCCTCCTCCTCTTGTTCTTGTTATGGAGCTCTTAATCCCCTGCAACCTCCTCAAAAATCATTCAAGATTGTCTGTCAAGTAGAAAGGTCAAACAATACAGAAGTAAAGAAGTGGAAAGCCATTGTTTCTACTGCATTAGCAGCTGCAGTGATTACATTTAGCTCAAACATGACTGCTATGGCTGACTTAAATAAGTTTGAGGCAGAAACTAGAGGTGAATTTGGTATTGGTTCAGCTGCTCAATTTGGTTCTGCTGACCTCAAGTTAGTTCTTTTTCTTCAAGATTTCTTCATTCTTTCAAGCTTTTAATTTTTTGGGCCTGAAATAGTTCTTTTGTTTTTTCTTGTTAATTTGCAGAAAAACAGTTCATACAAATGAGAACTTCAGGTAATCTTTCCTCTGCCTGTGGGATGATACTTCTTTTAGTTACAGATAAGCTGCCTATAGAATGAAAAATAATACTCCCTGCATTTCATTTTTTATGATAAGGCTTATTGGATATAGCATAAGATGTTTATTTGACTTAATATTGCTCCTATATTATTAGTAATGGCTTAAAATAATAAGGGGTCGTTTGGTTTGAAGACAAGTTATGCTAGGATTAGTGATTGTGGGATTAGTATACCGGGGTTAGTTATCCTAGTATTATTTATTGACTGTTTGGTAATGTTGTAGTAATCCTGGGATTGTCAATTTTATTGCTTTATCCTGGGATTATTCTTCCACCCTCTGCCAGGTAAAGTTATCCCAGTCCTGGGATAAATTATCCAGGATTAGTAACTAAACAAAGGATAAGGCGGTACTAAATGTTTATCTAGAATTATTTTTCCTTATCCATCGTACCAAATGACCCCTAAAGGTGTAAAAAGTCATACTGATAAGGAACACAACAAGAACGTTTATAAGTTGAATAGTTAAACTGATTTGATGTGAAAGAGTGTCATATAAGTTGGAATGGAGGGAGTATAATATATATTTTTCCCTGTATTGTTGGAGCGGGTAGGGGGGAGTGAATTTTTTTACAGAACCAGTACTTTGTGCTTGCAACTTTGAAACCAGACTGTAATTGTAAAGTCATTCAACAAGAACTACAAGAACAAGAAGTTTTCTCGGTGCAGACTAGTATTCATTTTCAATTGGACTTGCTGATACAGAAGAGCCAATTTCACATCTGCTGATATGAGGGAATCAGATTTCAGTGGTTCAACATTCAATGGTGCATATCTTGAGAAAGCAGTTGCCTATAAAGCGAACTTCTCAGGTACTTTTTTCCATAGCAAAAACATCTAATATACAAGATAGAACTAAGCAAAGTAGCAACTGAGATGCTAATGAATTACCTTTAGCTGCTTTTAGCATGCCACTTCCATTCCATCAGAAAACTGAGCCAAGATTACGCATTCTTTGCTGTAGCTTTTGTTCTAGAATAAATTTGCCCAGGTCTACGTTGACATTTAGTAGGAGCCATCAATGCCAGAACAACATTTATTGGCGCTGATTCTTCACTCTGTTTTCTTTTTGGAGCTACGCCTTTGCCTTTGCCTTTGCTTTTGCCTTTGTTTTGATGAGATTTAATATCTGATTGGTAGGATTTGCTTGTCGTGCTGGGACATCTTAGTGTAGCCATTGGATCCTGCATAACATTTTTATTCATGCATTGCACATCATATTGCGAATCACAGGTTGCTTCAATATTCCCTGCCAATTTGTCAGCTACTCGGTGATCCTGATTTTTCCCCGATGCCTCCTTATGCGATTTTAAGATCTTAAATGCATCTGGAAAATCACGAGTTGCATACACTTTACGTCTTTTTGGAGACCCACAACTGTTATTATCATGCTCCCCGCATTCAAACTGGCCGATGGTTTCTTCATCCTCGAAAGCCTCATGCAACTCCAAATCTACATCCGATTGTATTACTTCCTCTAGATCAATTGGCACAACAGACTCCTGTTCCTCAAATTCTTCTTCACATGATCTAGCATCTACAAAAGGATCCACTAAATTTTCTTGACTTCGAAAATCAACCTTCAAATGTTTATCAGAGTCATCATTTGTTTCCTTAACATGATCCTCTTTAGATTTATGATCACCAGATTCCCGCACATAATCCTCTTGGGATTTCTGGTCAACATCCTCAAAATTCTTAAAATCCTTTGGAAAATCACGAACTGCGTAAACCTTACACCTCTTTAGCTTGGTCATATCACATTCTCCCGATTTCAACTTGTCGACCAGGTGAAGATAAGCTCCATTGTCCACCCAAGCATTCTGCTTATGCGTATCCACAACCTTAATCAAGTCTACATGCTCAGTGCTTCCACACTCAATAGGTTCGGTTCGAGCAATTCTTTTACCATCCTTCAGATCCTCTGGCATATGAATACCTAATTCTGCACATGCCTTTTGTTTAGAAATAACAATTGGCTCAACATTCATAGCTTGAACACCAGAGGATATGACATTCTTTAAACCAAACACTAACTTTTTCCCAACCTCAGCATCCGACTCGTTCCCTATAGATTCAATTTCAACTTCATTATCAATATCTTCCTCAGTTTTCTGTATAACACATTTAGCAAATCGCGTAAAACCTTCTGGAAAACTACGTATCGCTAATACCTTTGGTCGCTTAAACATGGGCATTGAACAAGATGGGAAGATTTTAGCATAAGGATTTTGTACTACTACTTTTAAATTCTCCCTTCTCAACTGCTCATTTGAAAACCCAATTCAGAGACAAAAGTTAAATCCTATAACAAGAAAAGCAGAAAGATCAAAACTTTAGCTTAATCCAGGGAAGAACGGTCTATCAAGAAACGGGAACCCTAGAAAAACATTCAGAAAAATTGTAAATGAACTAAAAAGTTACAGTAGCCAGCCCAAAATCAGAATTTTATATCTGAAACTTGAAGCAAATCTTAATTAAACAATCCCAATTTCAACCAGAAATATCAAGATAAAAACTTATCATTAATTCATAAAATCATATTATACAACAGAAACAGTGAAATAATATATGCTAAAAACTTACCAGCATCAGGTGTAAGTATTTATCCAAATTTATCTTTTGAGGTACGATTTATAAGAAGGAGAAACCCTTCTGTTTTAAATTAGGAACTTTTCCTTTTTGGATTAGGATTTAACTTTGGAACTATTTGTGCAGATTGTACGGAAGCTTCAATTTATTAAGTTTACCTATATTTAATCACACAGAACCTTTTAATAATTTTAACCTTAGTGCTTTTGTGTGTTTTAATTGCACATTATTCGAAATCTATTAATGTACGTTTTTTGTAATATTCAGATTTTGATAATAAATGGCAATTGAAAAACAGATGTATGTTAGAATCAAATTGACACTTGTTTAATCCGAATGTAAAATAAATGTATTGAAAATTACTTATATAGTGCCAATTCCACCCCTCCCCCCCCCCCAAAAAAAAAAAAATTTGTTATGTTTCTCATATAATAAAGAATATTAGGAAAGTTAGAAAGGATTAAGTTCAAGTTTAAAATCTATATTGTGAAGCAACGAGAAGTTTTATTTTCTGTCTCATACAACTGACACTAGTTGTATGAGGCTTCTTTTTGTCTCACAAAATTGTGGACCCCAATCTTACACTTCTGGATCCACAGAATTTTGGGTCCACAAAACTGTGAGACAAAAAGTTGCCTCATACAACTAGTGTAAGTTGTATGAGACACAAAATAAAATTTTTCGTGAAGCAACATGTATGTAAGTTAAGAAATTAAGGAAAAATAAAGAAAATAATAACGGCCTCAACTTGGTTGAGGCTTAGTTGTTGTCGTTGAGTTAAGAAAATTAATAAAGAGAAAATTTTGTCACAAACAACTGAATAAAGGTTACCTCTTTCCCTTACGATTTTCTTGTTAGAGCCCGTTTGGCTTAACTGATTTAGAGTAGCTGGTAAGCATTAGGTGCTAAAAAGCATTTTTAAGTGCTGAAACTGATTTAAAAAATAAGCAATTACGTGTTTGGATAAAAGTGTTGAAATTAATAATATGCAGCTGAAAACTGGGTATACGAAGAGTTTTGTTTTAAAAAGTAGTATTTTAGGGATAAAATAGTAAATATTTTGGTCAAACTTAAACTCCTTATAGGCTGAAATTTGATAAGTTGGGGGAGACCAACTTATGACTTTTGGCTTATTTTTGGCTTATAAACACTTAACTTATAAGCACTTTTAATTCTACCAAACGCGTAGATAAGCCAAAAAGTGTTTATAAGCCAGTTTAACCAGCTTATAAGCTTAGCCAAATACCCTCTTAATCTTGAATTTCTAGTCCAAAGGAGTTCACAGCATTATTTACAAGCCAACTTGAACATAGTCTCCCATGCAGAGGCGGAGTCGGGATTTCGACTTTATAGGTTCTGAATTTTAAAACGACGATTATAACAATTACTAATCGGGTTCTAAATTTAGTATTTATACATATTTAATGAATTTTTTCATACAAATACACGGTTTGAACAAAAAACTATTGAGTCAGGCCGAACACACATTCAGGCTTATAGCCCTTGTACTAAGAAAACATAAAACTTTGCTAAACTATGTGCAATAGTGTTAAAAGACGTAGGAATATATACAACGGTAGAAGACATCTACCGAATATATTGCTAATTCGGTTTTTGATTCAAAGTTAAAACTCTGGTTTAGACCGTAGATATATTGTTGGATTTTGTTAATAAAAACAAACGAGAATGGAAAATGGTGGGGGAAAATTGGAGGGAAATGAAATTTTGAATTAGTTCATTTTAGAAAGGACAAGTTCCCTCATTGGATAGGAAGAGGAAAATTCGTGTGCTTATATATGGAAGCACTTCTTTTAGCTCTTAAAGAGTTGAGAAGATAGCAAGGCTCGTGTCGCCGTCGTCTCGGCTTCAGTCAATTGATATGATTGATTGATAATTTATGAACTTGGAAATTCGCCGAATTATTTGCACCTGTTGGGACTCAAATTTGAAACATAAGCATTTTGTGTGATTTGTTCCGCCATTTGAGTTCGCCGAAGTTCTGTGATTTAAAATGCCGCTATCACAGAATAGTTATTCCATTCTATCCTGCGAGGAATTAATCCGAAACCTTGGACAACTGTGCAGGGGTGGCCCAACGATATTTGTGGCCTAAAATCAAACTCTGACGGAGGCCTAATCAATTTATTCTACTAATTTTTTTAGTTGATGATATAGTTATCAATTTGGTCTTTCTTGACATATTGTTGATTCAATTTTATTAATTTTAATTTTATTTTTATTTTTTTAATTCGAAAAATATGTCTAAACTATCCATTTCAGAATGACCATTATGTTTCCAGAATTTAGGCAATAATTTTTATAGTTTTCGTTATTTATTGATCTCAAATTTTTACCACTAAAGAGGAAGGCAAAAGAAAATTTCATATACTTTGAATTGTTCAGATTTGTTTTGAAGTGTAAAATGACTTGATATTCAAATTCTAATAAATAAATAATTTAAAAAGTAAAAAAAAAAAAAAAACAAATTTTTAGATTAAAAATAATATTTAAAAAGTTACATTAACAAAACCAAATTCAAGAGGTTGATAAGTTGATGCCAAAAAGTTATTTTTTTGCTTCAAATACTTGCTTGAATACTTGAAAATATGAAGAGAAACGAAAAAGAATTTCAATTTATTTTGTTCTTGATCGGTTCTTAATCCCTGTTTTTGACAGAGGATGTTAAAAATTCAAATGGCTCGTCTCTTCTTGTTTTTGGCAGAGAGAGAGAATTTTCTTATTATGCATTTTAATGTGATGAGAAAGTGAAAGGTAAACAAAGTGAAAATTTGGGTCACTTGTCAAAATAGTAGAAAAAGAAATTCTTTTCCATCGGGGACGGCCCGTCCATAAAGCAGGTAAAGCAACTGCTTTAGGCCTCACATTTGTGGAGGTCCCATTTTCTTTTACACTAATAGGCTATATATAAATTTTAAAAAAGTATTATATGAAGTGAAAAAGTTTGATTTCTTTATTTAAGAAATATAGAGGCGAAGGATTTGCAACTGCTTTGATTTCTGCCAAGGAAATTGCATTTGAAATTAGTATCAAACCCGAATTCCATAAGAAATGTGTAATATATAGGAAGAAACAATTTGAAGAGAATGTTAATAGTGAAATCTCAAAATCTCTCGAAGAGTCCTTTAGAGTTATTACTTTTTATACTAACTCCCTCTGGTCCATAACAAATGACTTTTTAACCTGTGTTGCGCCCATTAAGAAAATACTAACTCCTAGAACAAAAATATATTTTGACTGAATTATCCTTAATTAAAATTTATATATTGTTAACTTGACACATTGAGATATGTAAATAAAGGTAAATTTTGGACAAATAAAGTTAATTCCTTCTTGAATATATAAAAGGACACTTATTTTGGACCAAAATAAAAGCCAAAAAGTCACTTATTATGGACCGGAGAGAGTAGTAGACTTTAAAATAGATTTGAATAATTAGAGGCATATGAAAATATTTTTGGTTTTCTATTTAGCGATAAAAACTGAGATCACTAGATGATGGAAATTTAAAAAAATATTGCCTTCATCTTGAATGTTCCTTAAATCATAATAATCAACCCGATATTGATAGTTCTTGTATTTATTTTCTAGAATTAAAAAAATTAGAAAAATAGTACAATTAGAAAATAACAATTTAATTGATATACTCAATCAAATAAAAATATTTGATTATTTTCCAAATGCCTATATTACTTGTAGAATAATGTTATAACTTCTATTACCGTTGTTTCAACAAAATAAAGTATTTCAAAATTAAAATTGATAAAACCTTACCTAAGATCAATAAGTCTCAAAGATATTAAATGAATTAGCTATATTGTCAATTGAGAAAGACTTACTAGGAGAAATTGATTATAAAAATTAATAATAACGTTGCATCTAAAAAAAGTTAGAAAAATAGACTTCAGCTAAAAAAAATATTTTTTATTAATAAAAAGGTTAAGGCCCCTCATAAAAGTTTGGCTTTAGGCCACTAAATTGGTCGGGCCGCCCCGTTTTCCATATGACAAAGATCTCCAAAAATTATTTTCTTGTAGCCAACGGACTATTCCTATTCCCTAAAATAATACTCATTCTTTGGAAGAATTACTAAACAAAAATTCTTTTCCATTTTCTTATAAAAAATTGTACTATTTCATTAGAAGTGCTCAAGTTTTTACAGACAAATTAATTCATAACTTCTAAAAAATGGGGCCTTCATAATTGTGGGGCCTAAGGCCTTTGCTTTAGCTGCTTTATGCTAGAGCCGGCCTTGCAATTGTGAGGAGATTAAATTCCTTAAGGACGCACAAAAAATTTGTGGGTTCGGAATTTTTCTGTTTTGTTTTCTTAATCTAACATTTTTTGATTTTCTGGTTTTGAATACAGTTAGAAACACACATATATATATATATATATATATATATATATATATAGCTAATTCCTGTTTGCTTTGTTATCTACAGGCGCAGATTTGAGTGACACATTGATGGATCGGATGGTATGCACATTGTAGCCTATGAATTAAGTCCAAGTCGAAAACTTTACACTTGCTATAGATTTTAGTAAAGTGACTTCAATTTCAGAATGTTAAGATAATTTTGTTCTTTCTTTTGCAGGTTCTTAATGAAGCTAATCTCACTAATGCTGTTCTTGTTAGATCTGTTCTGACTCGTAGCGACCTCGGGGGTGCTATCATTGAAGGTGCTGATTTCAGTGATGCTGTTATTGATCTCCTTCAGAAACAGGTAATTGGTCTCAGAGAAGTTCGCGTCTTAATTAGTTCTACTATCACACCATTTAGTACTAACGATAAATATAAGAGTCGCTGAAAAATATAAGAGTCTGGTAAAATCTGTGCATTAGTACTTAGTGTGATTGTTTCAGCATTTGCAAATATCTAAGACTTTCAAGTTTCCTGGACGGAGGAAACCACATTTTGCGAGTTAAATTCTTGAAACAACATGCAAAGCATGTTGCAGGATTGTATAATATTCATTCCGAACTAGTAATAGTTCTACAAATGAAATAAGGTGGACAAGTCATAGGAAGTTCAACAAATAGAGGACAAATTAAAATCTTATAAGCAAGGGCATCAGGGGATAAATTACGTTAGTCAGAGGTTGAGGCAGAATTTTCACCAAGGAGGTTCAATATATACTATATATAGATAAAAACAAAATTAAATTGACCTTGTATATACAATATGATCTTTTGGCGAAAGGGGTTCGGATGAACCCTTTTCGCTCCTCTAACTCCCCCCTTAACGTCAGCTATTTTACTTTGAAATTTTATCATACTTTTGTATGGCTATAAAGTGTAAGATGCAGCAAATCTACTAAGTGGAGCTATTAGGATCAAGCACTTACCATCATGCCAAAAGCTACAGCTAATAGGGGCACAACTTTATTTCTTAATCAAACTCACCAAGCAAGCGCCATGTTCGATCATGACTCCGACCCGGGTCACCCCTTGTGGGCCTTGCCATAGGCAAGATGTTGGCTTTACCCAACAGGAGCATCTTTGACTGTACGTATAATTTTGTAAAAAGTTAATCAACCTCAACCGGGCTTCTCTCAGATAGAAATAAGC